GCGCGTGAATTCAGCTTGGGAGTCTCCTCTTCTCTGATCTCACCTCCCACCTCTCTCCACTATGACTGCTTAGCACCAGCCACAATGGCCTCCCTTTTCTTGAACAAGCCAAGCTCATTCCAGCCTCCAGAGCTCTTCACCTGCTTTTCCTTCAGGGCCTTCCATGGTTGGCTCTTACTTATCCTTCAGGATTCAATCAAATATGACCCCCTCAGCCCTAATGTCACCTACCTTGTCCCCCCATCTAAATGAGTTAACCCCCTTCCTACCCCAATCACTCATGTTTCATCCTTTTCACAGCACCTAACGCAACCACTATCAGAAATAGCCTTCTTTTGGGATGATTTGTCATTGTCTCCCCCACTAGACTCAAGCTCCAGGAGGGCTGGGACCATGTATTGTTCAAGGCTGCGTCCCCTATAACAGTGAGTATTACATACAGACAGAAAGTGCTCAACATTTTTTTTTTTCTTAATCGAGGTGGGTACTCATTAATCCCATGATATAGACAAGAAACCTGAGACTGGGAGAGGTTAAGCCATGCGCACAAGGTTGCAGAGCTTGGAGGGGCAGAGCTAGGATTTGAACCCAAGTCTGACCCATTCCAGTGCCCTTGCTCTTTCCTAAAAGAGAACAGCTTGTTCTGATGTGAACTTTCCTTCCTGCTCCCCTGTTATCAGCTGGCCATTCAATGCCACCTGTGCAGTCACATGGAGGGAACCCTGGCTCCTTCCGTTGGCTGTCACTCCTCCTCCTGCTGTGGGTGGAGGCCGTGGCCTTGGACCATGGGAGACTTGGTGTTCCACCACCTGTTCTGAGAATGGGGTCCAGTCTGGCCCCCCTCCACCTGTCTTCGGCTCTATATTAGAGTCCCAAGCTCTGTGTCCCTTACCTACCATCTCAAAACTCACGATGTTCTGGTTGCTGAGTTCCATCCTATTTGTGACACTTGGTAAGACCCCAGCCTGTGTCTGTGCTCTTCTGGGGTGGGAGACCTATGTCCCGTGACACCCAACACCTGGTTTCATCGGGGGCTTTGAGCATGTACCTGGAACATGATTGTGGGGACTTTCAGCTTGGTGCTGCATCAGGAGAATGGAGCCCCCAGATGGATGTGGTGGGAGTCCAGGATGGGGGCAGTATGCAAAGTCTGATGGTTAAGAGTTTGGACTCTGCACTCAGATGGCTTGAGTTGGGTTTTCCACTCTGCTTAACGCTCCAGTTCTATTTTTACACTCCCCACACCTGGCTCCATGTCTTGTGGTCTGGCCTTCTCCTGGTCTCTCTGCCGTATCACATTCCAGCTGAGGGCCACCTCCTCCAAGCAGCCTCCCTTGACTGACAATAATGGTAACAGATAAACTTATTGAGTGCTTACTATATGCCAGGCAGAATGCTGAGGTTTTTTTCTTAAGTTATCTCATGTAATTCTCATACCAGCCCCCTGAGGTCAGTACTATTATTATGTCTATTTTATAAATAGGGAAATTGACCCTCAGAGAAGTAAAGTAGCTCATCCTAGAACAAAGGGCAGAGCTGCACTTTGAACCCAGGCAGTCTTACTTCTAAGCCTCCACTCTTTTTTTGTTTGTGTGACCGGTAAGGGATTGCAACCCTTGGCTTGGTGTTGCCCGCACCGCACTCAGCCAGTGAACGAACCGGCCATCCCCATATAGGATCCGAACCCGCGGCGGGAGCGCCGCTGCACTCCCAGCACCGCACTCTCCTGAGTGGGCCATGGGCTCGGCCCTAAGCCTCTACTCTTTAGGACAATAGCTACCACTTTCTGAGGGCTCACTG